CTCGTCCTCCACGTTGTAGCGTACTGGATCCACTCGCTGGTGACCTCGTCTTCTCGCACTCGGGGTCACCCTTCCAGTGACCCTTCTTGTGGCACGCGTTGCACTTCGTGCGCGCCTTGATCTGCTTCAGCTTGTCCTCGGCCTCTTTGCTGTCCATCTTGATGGAGCCCTGCTTGTTAATGTTGGCTTTCCAGCCTCGATTCGACTTGCTTTGAGCAAGCCGCTCCCTGGCTTGCTTGTAGTTGGGCTTGTGGTTGCGCCGTCCAGCTTTCCAGCCAAGACGTTGAGCCTCCGTCGCCAGGGTGTCGCACTCCTCCTGGCTGATCTCGCCCGGGTCCACGTCGTCAATCACTCCCTCGAACTCATCGATGTCCGCAGCAAGTGCGTCGTAGTCCGCATCGCTCAGGAAAACGTCCTCGTCGCACGGTGCACATTCGTCTCCGAGTAGAGCCTCTTCTTCTTCGTCGTCGTAGTCCACGGGGTAGGCTCCGTAGCGTCCATGTCCACGATCATCTCGGCCTGTACTGTCCAGCTGTATAAGCATGGCTGCCGTCACGTCGTCCCAGATGTACTCGTTGTTGCATTGGCCAAGGATTGCCTTGTGCTCTTGCATGCTGATGTTTGCTAGCTTTAGTAGAAAGTATGTCCGTAGGTCCTCGCTGACTGTCGTATTCGTTGAAAGTGACTTGAGCCGTTCGTACTCCGTCTCTCGCCTCGATATGTAGTCCTGCACAGACTCCGTTCTATTGCGAAAACCTCTGAAGAAATACTCCTCGAACGCTTGCTGCTTCTGTAGTGGTGCGATCCTTTCGCACGCCTGTCGTACTGTAGTTACCACCAGTTTGACTGCAGCAAGTGGGTCATTACCTGCTTCGTCCAAAACTGCTTGCGTACTGATCTCAGCCTTCTTACGTGTAAGTGTCCACGCTCGTCCATTTTAGAGAATTCTTGAGCTTGATCGCGTAGAGCTTCTTGATCTTTTCCTCGCTCGCATGATAGCCGAGTATTGCACGCTCCTCGAACTCCTCGCCGTAGGAAGGGTCGCCGTTGTAGTGTACCACGCCCTCCTTGTCAACGAAGAGGGGCCCGTCATTGAACTGCTGCTGCTGCTGCCTGGACGTCATCTTGATGACTGTGATGCTACTAAGCTTGTCACCGATGTAGTAGCTGTCTTGGTCGTTGCTGCTGTAGTTGTGCTGCTCACCCGGGGTGCCGTTGATGCAACGATCCTCGTCCAAGCTGTCGTAGGTAATGATCTGGAGCGTCGTGTCGATCGACGTGATCTGTTGAGCGCAGTGTTTAAGCACCGCGAAGATGTAGGTGAGCGCCAGCATGTAGGTCTGCACGGCCACTCTATATGAAATCCTCGCACCGCGGACTGATTCAGCTCGCGCTACCAGTGTAAATAGTAATCCAAATCACTCCACCCACAACCTCTTGATGCAAGAAGAGACAGGCAAGATGTGATCTTGATCTTATACCGAATCAAACTCAGCGTTCGATAGGTGCGTCCACCCTCCCGCCACAGCTGGCGGGCAAACAACCAAAACGGCCGCGGTGGACAAGAGAGTGCAAGCATGAGCGAGCGAGAGCAGCAGCAGAGATAATTCTGATTATCATCCTATATCTCACATCCCTGATAGTGCAACTTTCACACGACGGCCCCAGGACGCGCCCCTGGAGCGCTCCGCGACGGCTCCCGGACCCCCACATCGCTCCAAGACGGCCCCAAAGACGCCCAAGAGAGCCGAAGCCGATCCGGCCAGAGCCCCACGACGGCCGCCCACGGGAGCCCAACGCCAGGTCCGAGACGGCCTCACACCCCCAAGATTGCCCCAAGCCGCCCCACGAGGCGCCCGAAGGGCCCAAGAGGGCTATCGTAACCGATTAAGGCCGGGCGTGGAGGTCTCAAAAAGCATCGGGTTTTCGCTAATCGCGCCTGGCCTCTCGGCGATTAGCGAAAATCCGAAGGTTCTGGCAATTCCACTGCGCCAGGATTGGCCCCCACACGTACCCCAAGGCCTTGGACACCGCCCAAGACGATCTGAATTTCCCGAGGTTTCGGCCCCCCGGGGCCCTGCATCGACCCTTCGCCCATTCAGGGTTCCGGTCAGGACGACAACCTAGCCCAAGTGGGCTAACACCTCGAGTGTTCGAGCACGGGTTCTCTTCACGTTCTCAGATTCTGTCCAACGACGAGTTGTCGGGTCCCCCAGATGAATTATCCAGTTTCGCCCGCCCAGGGCCTCGCCCAGGCTTCGACGACACGTGCGAGTTCGGGACCAACGCCTGGACCTGCGGGCCGTGAATTTTCCACGGGTTCACACTAGTCTCTACTACATTGCAGGGGCACGTGCGTGCGGGAAGGGCGCAGGCTCAAATGTCTCAAAACCGCCCTGGGCTGGCCCCGGGCCGCCCCGGGCCGCCCAGGCAGGCCCCAGGACATGTCGAGAGGGCCCCCAGAAGCCCCCAAGACGGCCCCGGAGAGCCCCGGCACGCTTACAGATGGGCCCAAGACGCCCGAGATTCGCCCCAGGCGGCCCAAGAGGCGTCCAAGACGCCCGAAGAGGCCTCCCAAGAGGCCTCCCAAGAGGGCCTCGAGCGACAGAAATCGTCGATTTCTACGGTGTTTTTCAATGTTTTCGGCCTCCTCGCCTCGTCGGCTTCCCGACGCTCCAAGACGGCCCAAGAAGCCCCCCCGACCGCTCCAAGACGGCCGAAGAGGACCCCAAGAGAGCCCCAAGACGGGCCAGGAGGGCCCCCAGACGGTCCCAAGACGCCCCAGGACGGCCCCCAGACGGCCCAGGAGGCGCCCAAGACGGCCCAAGAGGCACCCAAGACGACCCCAGGAGCGGCCCAAGACGGCCCACGACAGCCCAAGAGGCGCCGAGACGCCCCAGGACGGCCCCCGGACGGCCCAGGAGGCGCCCAAGATTGCCCAAGAGGCACCCAAAACGACCCCAGGAGCGGCCCAAGACGGCCCACGACAGCCCAAGAGGCGCCGAGGCGGGTCTCAGACGGCCCCAAGACGGCCCAAGAGGCACCCAAGACGGCCCGAGAGGGCCCTAAGAGCCCCCCCGGGAGGCCCAAACGAAGGCCGAAGAGGCTCCGAAACGGCCCCCACGAAGCCTTCAGTGCCTTCAGAATTCCCTCCAGGAGCGGGGGAGCGGACGAGAGGCGACACGTGCGCTGGGCGCCTGAGCGGCCCCGTTGCGGAGAAGATCGCAGGGACGGGGACATCACGATGGCGAGCACCCCGCGCCATCACGACGTCGTGGACCGCGACGTCCGCCATTCTTGCGGGGAGTGCGCCCCGCATGTGCAGGCGCCGCATTTTAGTTGCGTTTGCACCTCCTCTCTTCGGTTCGGACCACGCCTCCTATTCCAATCCCCCGAACTTGCTCGCACTCCTGGCCATGCAGCCGCCATCCCTGTTGCCGTCGCCGTCGTCGTCACATCCGTGAGCTGGACGGGGCCTTCTCAGCAAAGGCAAAGGGGGGACAGAACGACGACGACGACGGCCACGACTACGACGAAGGCAATGACGACGACGACGACGACGACGACGACGACGACGACGACGACGACGACGAGGACGAGGACCACGGCGGCAGCGTCGGCGGCGGCGACGGCGACGACGCCAGCAGCGACGCCGACGGCGACGGCGACGGCGACCGCAAATGCGACGTCGACGGCGCCGCCACGGGAGGGTCCCGACGAGGGCTCCGTACTTTCCCGGGCCCCCGAAGCAGACCGTCACGCAGACAGGCGCGCTTCGACGGAACCCCGCAAGTGGACGTAGTCCACGGGTCAGCCTTAGTCTCTACTACATTGCAGGGCCCAGTGCGTGCCAGAAGGGCGCAGGCCCCAATGCACCGAAACCGCCCCGGGCTGGCCCCGGGCCGCCCCGGGCCGCCCAGGCAGGCTCCAGGACATGTCGAGAGGGCCCCCAGAAGCCCCCAAGACGGCCCCGGAGAGCCCCGGCACGCTTAAAGATGGGCCCAAGACGCCCGAGATTCGCCCCAGACGGCCCAAGAGGCGTCCAAGACGCTCCGAAGAGGCCTCCCAAGAGGCCTCCCAAGAGGGCCCCGAGCGACAGAAATCGTCGATTTCTATTGTGTTTTTCGATGTTTTCGGCCTCCTCGCCTCTTCGGCTTCCCGACGCTCCAAGACGGCCCAAGAAGTCCCCCCGACCGCCCCAAGACGGCCGAAGATGACCCCAACAGAGCCCCAAGACGGGCCAGGAGGGCCCCAAGACGGTCCCAAGACGCCCCAGGACGGCCCCAGGACGGCCCAGGAGGCGCCCCAGACGGCCCAAGAGGCACCCAAGACGGCCCCAGGAGCGGCCCAAGACGGCCCAAGACAGCCCAAGAGGCGCCGAGGCGGGCCTCAGACGGCCCCAAGACGGCCCAAGAGGCACCCAAGACGGCCCGAGAGGGCCCTAAGAGCCCCCCCGGGAGGCCCAAAAGAAGGCCGAAGAGGCTCCGAAACGGCCCCCACGAAGCCTTCAGTGGCTTCAGAATTCCCTCCAGGAGCGGGGGAGCGGACGAGAGGCGACAGGCATATCGCAGGCAAAAACGCCCCAAGAGATCCCCAAACGGCCCCCACGAAGCCCTAAGTGGCCTCAGAATTGCTTCCAGGAGGGGGGGAGCGGACGAGAGGCGACCGGCATATCGAAGGCACAAAAGAACAATGTTGGACGCTCCGAGGGCCTTCGATGTTTCTCTGTTGGGGAGAGTCGTCGTAGGATCGACGATTGCCGACCGAGGGCATGGAGAATCCAGCGAAAGAGGAGAAGCAGGTGGAAGAGGAGGAGGAGGAGGAGGAGGAGGAGGCGGAGGAGGAGGAGGAGGAGGGGAGGAGGAAGCAGCAGGACCTCCGAGCAGCAGCAGCAGCTGATTGCCTTTCGGCCCTGCAGCCGCACCCCCCCGCGCTTGCCCAGAGACCCCTCGCCACGTCGAGCTAATGTCGTGGACGGAATCCACAGGTCTGCCCTAGTCAGCTACAATGCTGGGATCAGCGCGTGCGAGAAGGGCGAGCAGTGGCAGCCAGCGCTGGCGCTCCTGAGCGAGATGTGTGAGGTGAAGCTGGAGCCCAACGTCATCTCTTCTCTATCGCAGACGGAAGCGCGTGCGAAATGGGCGAGCACTGCCCCCCCCCCCCCCCCCCCCGGAGGGCCACTTTTTCGACACCCTTCACGAAGATCCTGGCCCCCCAGCGTCACAAATCGGGCCCTCCGCCCAAAGACGCGCCGCAGTGGCCATAAGAGGCTCCAAGGAGCGTCCAAGAGGACCCTAGAGGCCCCCAACAAGGCCCAAGAGGCTCCCAAGAGTCTCCAACAGTCCTCCGAAGCATGCCCCCCAGAGGCCAACAGGCCTTTCAAGACCGCCCCAGGACGGCCCAACAGGCCTCCAAGCGCGTCCCCAGACGGCCCAGGGAGGCCCAAGATGGCCCAAGAGGCGCCCAAAACGGCCCCAGAGGAAAGCCAGGCCCAAGAGGGGGCCAAAGAACGAGGAAAAACCCTGACACTCCGAGCCCTGGGCCCCCATACGCCCACACACGGCCCCAAGACCCCCCCGAAGGGAACGCCAAGAGGTCCCCAGAGGCCCCCAAGAAACCCAAAGCAAACCCCAAGACGGCCCCCAAGAGGCCCCAAAGCTGCCTCCAAAAGGGACCCCAGACGCCTCTGAACCATTCCCCAGGCACAGGCACGGTGGCGGATTTCGCCGAAGGTCATGATGCGTGCCAGAAGGTCCTCTGTCTTGAAATGTCCGCCAGGCTCTCCAGGCCGCCCTGCGAGCCCCCAGGCCGCTCCGAGACGGCCCAGAAACGCCCACAAGGGCGCCTGGACAGACCAAGAGGGACCCAACCGAGCCCCAGGTCGGCCCCAGAGGCCTCCAAGGCAGGCCAGGAGGCCCCCAAGGCGGCCCAGGAGAACCAAGAGGCAAACATTGCCCCTTTCTCTTTTTTTGGAAAACGTACACTTTTACCTAACAGCTCTTGCTGATAGGTTTCTAGTGGTCTCAAAAGAGAGCATCATGACTCCTCAGGGGGGTCTGGGCGGGACCCGGGGAAGCTGCCGTCGAAGCCGAAATCGCTTGGGACATCCTCGCAAAATCGCTCTTGGTGCTCCCAGAACTCCATTCCCGGGCCACATTTTGGATGCCCGGAGCCAACTGTAGGCCACTTCGTGCTCTTCGACTTCCCAGAATTCCATTCCCATGCCACATTTTGGATGCCCGGGGCCAACTGTAGGACACTTCGTGCTCTTCGATTTCCCCAGAACTCCATTCCCGGGCGACATGTTGGATGCCCGGAGCCAACTGTAGGCCACTTCGTGCTCTTCAGGTTCCCAGAACTCCATTCCTGGGCATGATTTTGAATGCCCGGAGCCAACTGTAGGCCACTTCGTGTTCTTCTAGTTCCCAGAACTCCATTCCTGGGCCACATTTTGAATGCTGAGGCAGGCTGATGCTGCGGCCGAGGCAGGCTGAGGCTGAGGCAGGCTGAGGCTGAGGCCGAGGCTGAAGGCAGACTGAGGCTGAGGCTGAAGCAGACTGAGGCTGAGGCTGAGGCAGGCTGAGGCTGAGGCTGAAGCAGGCTGATGCTGAGGCAGGCTGAGGCTGAGGCTGAGGCTGATGCAGGCTGAGGCTGAGGCAGGCTGAGGCTGAGGCCGAGGCTGAAGGCAGACTGAGGCTGAAGCAGGCTGAGGCTGAGGCTGAGGCAGGCTGAGGCTGAGGCAGGCTGAGGCTGAGGCTGAGGCAGGCTGAGGCTGAGGCTGTGACTGCGACTGCCGTTGCCGCTGCGACTGTCATCGCGAATGCGACTACGACTGCGAGAACAGCAGAATTCGACAACTGGATTTTCATCTGAATCTTAAGGGGAATGCTTTCAGATATGCTTCTACACATCGCTGTTAGGTTGCTTTGCCGGGATAATTTATATGCTCGCTCTTTTCGTCTTCGCCGCGTCCAAGACGGCTATACAGGCCTTCCCGATCGCCCCAAGACGCCCCCAGAGCACCCCAGGAGGGCCCCCAAACGGCCCGAGGCGGGCCCGCGACGGCTCCAGAGACGCCCTAGACAGCCCAAGAGGCAATCAAGACAGCCCAAAGAGCAGTCAATAACGGCCCAAGATGGCCCCAAGACGGTCCGAGCTGCGCCCAAGACGGCCCCACACGGCCCCAAGACGGCCCAAGAGGCACTTAAGACGGCCCAAGAGTGGCCCAAGGAATTCCCGGGAGGCCGGAAAGAGGCCCCCAAAAGGCCCCCAAGAGGACCTAAGTGGCTTCCACCTTACCTCTAAGAGAGGGGGGTCGGACGAGAGGCGAGGGCCGGACCGCATGCCCACAAGAGCTGTTTTCAACGCTCTGGGGCCCTTCCATGCTTGTCTGTTGGGGAGCGGTCCAGGGCGCCCCGGAGCGCTCCGGGAGCCCTTCGGGCGCTCCAGGTCCCTTGGAGGCCCCCCAGATGGCGCCATGAGGGCCCCCCAGACGGTCCTTGCACGCTCTGGGAAGCCCCACAGAGCGTCCACGAGGCCCTTCAAATGGGCCCGACCCCACCCAAGCGAGCGCCAAGGCGCTTCGAGAGGCCTCCAGAAGGCCTCACAAGAGGGCCCCAAGAGGTCAAAATCGTTTGTTGTCCTAGGCTTTTCCAAAGATTTCCCGCTGGCCGCCGATTCAGCTTTCGGACACTCGAAGCAGCCCTGGAAGACTTCAAGGCCACCCCAACCAAAAGGACCCAAAACGCCCCCCCAGGAGGCTCCCAGGAGGGCTCCAAGACAGGCCAAGACCGCCCCAGCACGGCCCAAAGCGCGCTGAAGACGGCCCAAGACGGCTCCAAGACGGCTCCACGAGGGTGCCAACACGGCCCTAGACGGGCCCAGCACGGCCCAAGGCACGCTCAAGACGGCCCAAGACGACTCCAAGACGGTCCCAGGAGGGTGCCAGCACGGCCACAGATAGGGCCAGGACGAGCCAAGGAGGCGCCCAGTCGGGGCCTCAAGACGGGCCAAGATGGCAAGAGTGCCCCAGCTGGCAAACATCGTTTTTTGTCCATTGTTTATTGCTACAGCCTTTGCGTTTCCCGCCATTTCGGCGGTCGGATGCCCTAAGAGGCCCCAGAAAGTTCCAGGAGGGTCCGAGGAAACGCCCAGGAAGGCCCCAAGACGGGCCAACACGGCCCCAGCACAACCCAAGGCGCGCTGCGACGGCTCAGCTCAAGACGGCTCCAAGACAGCCCCAAGAGGGTGCCAACGCGGCCCCTGCTGGGCCCAGGACGGCCCAAGGAGGCGCACAGGAGGGGCCCAAGACGACTCGAAGGCGGCCCCCTCACGGCCCCAGACGGCTCCAAGACAGCGCCAAGGACCCCGATGGGCCCAGGACGTCCTACGGACGCGCCCATGAGGTGCCCACGACGAACCAAGACGGCCCCATCACGGCAAACGGCGCCCTCAAGACGGGCCTAGACGGCTCCAAGACGGCCCTTTGAGGGAGCCAACACGGCCCCACACCCTTCGGGCGAACACTTGGGGGGGCTGGGAGCTTGCGACAAGTCTCCCACATTCATTGTCCTGCCCCATTCTGTTCGCCTGGAGGCCTCCTCCAACCCTGTGGGCGAACAAGAGGAACCCCAGCGGGCGCCAACCCTGGGGCACGTGGGCCCCGCGCCGCTTGGGCAGAAGACGAACGCCGGGTCTGACAGGCCAGCTACCGCCCCCTTTGCCCGATATGCTGTGCCATTCTGGTCCCACAGGGGCCTTGGCAAACTCTTCGGGCCAACCAGACCGGACCCCTGGGACAGCAGCCAATCGATATGAACCAGGCACCTCTCCGCACTCTTCGGACCACAGACCCTCTGGGCGAGCAGAGTGGGACTTGGCGAACAAACCCTCCCGTTGGCGATGATCGACTGGATCGCACCATCGAGGCGTGCCCGGAGGTGATGGCCGACCCAACAGCGGTTTCTATTAAAATTTTACTGAATTTCAAACTTTCTTTAAGCTCTCTTGGGCTCTCCTGGTTAACCCTTGCGCTTCCCGGCGCTTTCGGTGGTTTCCCCCGATGGCCTCCCGAGCGTTTCCCTGGGCGCTCCTGAGACGCCTCAGATGGGCTTCGACTTCAACGCACATCCCCGAAAGACTTCGAAACTGCCCTCAATAGGAGGGGGGTGAACGAGCAGTGCGTCGGGGTCAAGCTGCTGGAGCGCTGCAAGAGCTCGGACACGAAGGCGCGGTCTCGCTGCCGCCGCCCGAGCCGCCGCCGTGTTTGTAGATGTTCGGTGCAATCTGCGCCGTTCCTCCGAGAACCATTCCAGAAAGATGTCGTGGACGGAGTCCACGGGTCAGCACTACTCAGCTACAGCTCCGGGATCAGCGCGTGCGGGATGGGCGCGCAGTGGCAGCCAGCGCTGGCGCTGCTGAGTGAGACTTGGGAGGTGAAGCTGGAGCCCAACGTCATCTCTATTATAATGCAGGCGTGCACGCATCTGGGAACGGCGGGACCGAAAAGCCGGCGCCCCTCCAGGAGCTCCAGGCGCCTCGTCTGGCGGTTCGGCGCGCTCCGCGAGCGCTCCGAGACGCTTTCAGAGGACGACGGCGACGACGACGACGACGACGACGACGACGACGACGACGACGACGACGACGACGACGACGACGACGACGACGAGCGGCGGCGGCGACGACGACGACGACGACGACGACGACGACGACGACGGCCTCGCGGCCTCTCCGCCGTGGAATGGCTGCCCAAGCCGCTTCCCTCGCCGAGTCGGCCGTGGGCCGCGCGGGCATTTTCGCTCGAAGATGGGGCGCGCTGGCTGGGGGGGAGGAGGCGACCACAGTGGTTACGACGTTTTTTTGGTGTTTGCCCCCGGGGGGCGGGGCGGGGGGAAGGAGGAGGATTCGGAGACAGAAGAGGAGGACGGACAGGATTCTGAGGAGGAGGAGGGGGAGGGGGGGGACGAGGAGGTTACGAAGTTTTTTGTGCGTTTCTCTTTGCCCACGAAGGAGGGGGGAGGGGGGGGGGAACCATGAAGAAGAGGAGGAGGAGGACGGACGGACAAGAGTTTGAACAGGAGGGGGGGGGGACGGCGAGGAGGACGAGGATGAGGACGAGGGCGGGGCGCTGCCCCGTCTTCGAGCGGAAGCGCCCCCTTTCGCCAATGGCCGTTCCAGTCGCCGGCAGGGCGGGAGGGCTGCTCGAGCTCTTCCGCCGCCAGCACGGCGAGGGCGCTGTGCCCATCGACGCGCCCAGTGGCGGCGAGGGGGAAGGCGACGACAACCCCGGCGTCCTGGCCCTCCAGGCCCTGAAGGCGGCACAAAGGGAGAAAATTGCTCACAAAGTGGCGGCCCACAGGGAACGCTGGTTGGCCGAAATACATGCTGCGTGCGAGGAGAGAAGGGCAACTGATCTGGATGTGTTGTGCACTAAGGAAGTGTCCGCGCGAAACTTGACCAAAAAACTATCCTTCTCTCTCAGAGGCTGGCGCTGCCCCGCTATCGGGCCACGAGTTGTCTCGTTGATTCCCGCCCGCGTGCCCTCCACATAAGTACCATGCGAGACTCAGCCGCGCAGTCATCGAGCTTGCGGGCCCCTGGGGAGCCAGGGGCGGCGTATTGAAAGACTGTCGTAGCGAAATCAGACGCGGACACACTCCTGCTTCGCCACGGCCTGACGGCTACATTGAACGATTCGGACAAAGAGTTCGTCGTGTTGGAGACTTTGATAGGTGATGCACACGTTAGCCGATTTCCGTTGTTGTCTCCAGTCGGGTACGGCGCCCATTGGCCTAAGATTTGCCCCGCCGATGCATCTCCAGTGCTCCCGTCCGTCGAGGCGGCGCAGGACGCGCTGCGGGTGATGGCGCTAGCTAAAGACGATCTTCGGGCGAGGGTTCCTGGGGGAGAGGCCGAGTACGAGGAGTCCCTGGCGCGGTACGTGGCGCACTGCCGCGACGACGACAGGAGGCGCGACCATATGTACCTGGTCGTGCCCAAGAGGCTTTTGATGGAGATCAGGGCGGGGATTCCATTTCGCTGGTCCCGGCGCCGGGGTCGAAGACGGCCGCGCGGGCTTCAGTCCGCCCGGAAGGGGCGTCCGCATCCACCGCGTGGGCGCTGCCGCCTGGCTCTCGGCGCGCGCGGATCTGGGCCTGCTGGCCCATTCTAGGGGCGGGGGCGTCTGCTTACTAATCTATGCGGCCCCGTGCGATTGCAAAAAGGCATCCCCGGTGTTCGAGCAGGGGGCCCCTGGCGATCTGCGGCACGCAGCTCCGCCGCAGCGCTTGGCTTCGCTGGAGCGGGCTCGGCGACGAGATGATGGTCATCATGAGCGTGGCGAGGGGGGCCGTCAAGACGCCCTTGTGCGTAGGATCGATGTTCAGTGCCCGGGAATATCTCCCGGCCGCGTCGGCACAGATCCGGGCGCTCCGCCTGGAGCCCCCCGGGCTCCGGAAACGCGGGCGCACTGTTGAGCTGACGTAGGCTTCCAAGCGCGGCCAGGAGGACAGCCATAGTGCCAGTGCTATTAGCGATGGAGGAGGACGAGGAGGGGGCGGGGGAGGAGGAGGACGAGGAGGAGGAGGAGGAGGAGGAAGCGGACGACGACGACGGGTTAAGACAGTTTCCGGGCACTCCCCCGGCAAGGGGTTGCGACAGATTCTGGGCATACCTTTTCGGCGAGGGGTGGCGACGTCGTCGTCGTCGTCGTCGGTGCCGCCGTCGTCGCATTCGTCGTCGTCGTCGTCCTCGTCATCGTGCTGCCCACGGGGAGGGGTTGCGATAATGTCTGGCCATTCCCCCAGACTGATTCTGCGCATGCGCCCGGACAAACTCCCACAGGCGACGGGTTAAAATTCTGGGCATTCGTCGTCGTCGTCGCCGTCGTCGTGATCGTCGTCGTCGCCGCCGCCGCCTCCGTCGTCGTCGTCGTCGTCGTCGTCGTCGTCGTCGTCGTCGTCTGTCGTCGTCGTCGTCGTCGTCGTCCGTCGTCGTCGTCGTCGTCGGCGTCGGCGTCGGCGTCGGCGTCGTCGTCGGTGCCGCCGTCGTCGTATTCGTCGTCGTCGTCCTCGTCGTCCTCGTCCTCGTGATTTCCCCGGGGAGGGCTTACGACAATTTCTGGCTATCCCCCCAGACTGATTCTGTTCACGCACCCGGACAAACTCCCCCAGGCGAAGGCTTACGACAAATTTTGGGCATTCGTCGTCGTCGTCGTCGTCGTCCGTCGTCCGTCGTCGTCGTCGTCGTCGCCGTCGTCGTCGTCGTCGCCGCCGCCGTAGTCGTATTCGTCGTCTGTCGTCTTCGTCGTCGTCGTCGTTGTCGTCGTCGTTGTCGTCCGTCGTCGTCGTCCTCCTCCTCCTCCGCCTTCTCCTGATCGTCATCGTCATCATTTTTATCATCACCGCTGTTTGGGCTCAAGCGCGACAGGCCTGAAACACGACTGTTTCACAGCGTCGCCGTCCTGCCTGGCACCCCGCGAGCAACCCGCATGCCCGGTCGGCGGAGCAACCAAATCACCGAGCCCTTGCTCAGGGAGGCGCTGTCTGAGTTGGACGACGAGAGTGTGACATCATGCTCTACACGGCGATGCGCCGCCGTTTCGTGGACTGGGTGAGCCCCGAGCTTTTCGGGAAGTGGGTGAAGAAGGACATCGTCCGCAGCGTCGCGCGGAAGGGGTATTTGGTCGTCCCTGCCGCCAACATGACAGCCGCGCGGCGCCAGCGGGTTCTCGACGTCGACGCAGATGCTATCTTGGGCCCGAGCAAGATAGCCAGCATCGACCCCGGCATTGACTTGTCGCAAAATTTCATTGTCGACCACGTCGTGGACCGCAACATGCTGGGCGTCGGGGCGTACTTCACCGTAGTTACGACGGGCTCGGAACACAGCTATAAACACAGCATGCGGAGCCATCCGTCCTCCGGCGTGCACGCGCTCCCCGACGCCCCCAGGGCCCGCGCGCTGCCCGCGCCTGCAGTGGAGGACGAAGCGCCCCAAGAACCCGCTCCACAGGCGAGAGCCGCCGAGGCCGCGGGAGCTTCGGCGGCGACCGGGGCTGCTCCATGCAGCCGCGCCGTCGCGCGGCATCCGTCCAACGTGTCCGACGGTGGCCCTTGCGAGGACGTCGTTGCGCGCGATCTGGCGCAGACGCCGAAGGCTTGCTTTGAAGCTGGCCGCTACTGCACCAAAGACGCGCACCTGTCGAACTTCGCCATCAACAAGGTGCTCGAGCACGCGGGGGCGATGCGCAACAAGTCGCCGCCGCCGAGGGGAAGTCCACAGAGTTCAACGAGCGCGCCTTTTTCGAGGCGCTTACCCCGTGGTTGCGGAAGTGCCCGAAGTACGTTGCGAAGGCGCTGTTGAGCAGCGAGGCTCTCGAACACCTAGGGCACTTCGCGGGGGCGTTCAAGCAGCTCTCGGATGCCCTGCCGTCCGCGGTGGGCAACCTGGGCAAGGCCTTGGCGGTGCTCGCGGCTTCCCGTGTCGATTCCGACGAGAGCATGAAGTTGGACTTCATGGACCTGGGGGAGAGGCAGTTTTTCAAAGACAGCAGGTTGTACAAGGCTTTCGATAAGCGGAGGGCGGCCGCGAAGATATCGAATTTGAGAGCGGCGTCCACGCGGAGCGACGCGGGCCGCAAGGCTGCGGCGGAGGCGCTTCTGCCCGCTGCCGCGACGGACGAGGGTAAAGAGGATGTGACGTTTGCCAAGGCGCTCTTTTCGGGTATGGTGGCCAAGGAGAAGGCCAAGTACTTGTTCTCGCTCTGCAGCCTGGAGCGGCTGAGGTCTTGGAAGGCAGACCACCCCTTGTTGCTGTTGGAACCCTGGCTGCGGCCGGGCACGACCTGGGCGGAGGTGCTCGGCGAGGCGTTCGAGAAAGCAGCCGATGCTTTCATCGGGCAGGACTGCCCCGTGGAGCCAGCGGCGAACCGGGTCCTGAGGGAGCTGTTGAAGGAGCGCCGGAAGTTGCTAGCCGCGGCGCCAGAAGACGATTTCGTCAAGAAGGTTGGCAAGGCTTGCTTCTTGGAGGGCGCCGGTGGCAAGCTCGGCGCCCCCGGCTGCGCGGTGGCGAAGGTTGACCAGGGCGATATGCGCTTGCCCGCGCGCATGAACGTCGCGAAGGTCATCGGCAAGGCCATGGGGAAGACGGCGAAGCGGACATCGGCCAGCAAACCAGAATCGACTGCCGCGGCAGTCTGGCAGGCGCATGCGGAGCCCCAGCAGGCCGCGAAGAAGGGCGACGGGAAGACGGCGGGCGCGGGAGCGGCCGCCACTGCAGAGGCCGCGCCGCCCGCGGGCGCCGCCAGCGCGGCCGCAGTCGCCGCTGGCGGCCGGGCGCCCGCGGCTGACCCGGGAGGCGGCGAGGCGGCCGCCGGGGCGCAGGCCGCGGCTGCCGCCCAGGGCGAGCCCCCCCCGCGGCCGACCCGGGGGGCGAGGCGGGCGCTGGGGCGCAGGCCGCGGCCGCCGCCCAGGACGAGCCCCCCCCGAGGACGCGGGCGCCGCGTCGGCGGTCCTCAAGGTCGGCCAGCCCGCGAAAACTCTGGGCATCGTGTAGAAGAAGGAGCACCGTAGTAAGCGAGCCGTCATAGAGACTGCCCCGACGCAGCACTACTGGATCAAGTTCGAAGAGGGCGACGTCGGCGTGAAGGGCTCAAGCATCAAGACGCTCCAGAATAACGCCGAGCCCATCATGGAGGGCGGCGCGCCCGCGCTGGCAGCTCCAGCCGGCCAGAGTGCGCTGAAGGTCACCCTTGCCTCCGACAAAAAACGCACATCGACTGCGGATGAGACTTCTGCGGGTGGGCGGGCCGCGAAGAGGGCCAGATCCGAGCAAGAGGCGGACGGTTTGTTCGGGCTGAGCGAGTGAGGGGCCATGAAGGGGCCGTGGGTCAGCAGCATGGACATTGCAACGGCACGTGTACTGTTGCGTGGGTCGCGCCCCAGCGGCGCCGTGGGAAGCAGCTATCCTGTTCGGGACGGTTTCGAGAAGCATCGTCATCGCCGCGATTGCCACTACCATGCGCAGACACGGGAGGGGGGTACGACAGATTTGCGGTTTTCCTCCCTCCCCCGTCCATTTTCCCCCTCCCCCCCCCCTCCCCCCCCCATCCAGCTCCTCCTCCTCGCTGTCCCTAGTCCCCTCCTCTTCCTCCACCTCCTCCTCCCTTTCCTCCTTCTACCTCTCCTCCCC